CATGTGTTCTAACGTGCTTGTAAAAGCCTCATTTGGGTGTGGGTGTGTGGGTTTTTGTATAGTGAAGACCCACACACTCACACCCACACCCTTAGAGGTAAAATAATAAACCGTTTCGCTGAAATCGTAAAATAATATACCCTTAGAACTAAAATGATAAACCCTTCTGCTGAAACCGTAGAATAATATACCCTTAGAGGTAAGTTAGTAAACCCTTTTTTGGCAGTCATATATCCTTGCTTTCATAAACCCTTCATCTCATAAATCCTTGAAGGGTTTATGAAAATTTGTACTTACGAGGGAACATTTCCAGGTGTTGGAATGCTTTTGAGTTGGGACTTTGTGCATCTTGTAGGCCTTGATGAATTATGTCTACCGTAAAAAAAGTTCATGCCCCTAGCTTGTTCCTAGTGAGATATCGAGGTTTTAGTGAATTTTTCCCATAAGACCCCACATGTGCAGCAAGGCCATATTTTTTAATTTTGATCTGAAACTTTGTCCACATAAACACCTCAGCTAGACTAGTTTGCATAAAAATTTTCAGAACCTTTGGACAAACTCTCTCGGAGATATGAAGCTTTCAAAAAATGCATGCTTTAAACGCTATCTATGGAAAACGGCCTATACGTTGAGAGCTTCATATCTCGGAGAGACTTTGTCAAAAAGTTCTGAAAATTTTTGTGCAAACTAGTCTAGCTGTGATGTTTATGTGGACAAAGTTTCAGATCAAAATTAAAAAATATGGCCTTGCTGCAAATGTGGGGTCTTATAGGAAAAATTCACTAAAATCTCGATATCTCACTACTCAGGAAGAAGTGAAACGCTGAAAATGTTGTTTAAACTGTCATAATCACCCGTTGTGTTAGGAAACGATGATAAACGGCAAGAAAAAACGTGATCATCACTTTTCTTGCCGTTTTTATGTCTAGTCAACGTTTCCAAGCGTTATCTACATTAAATAATCTCTGAAACGGTTATATAAGCCATTTTCTTTTTCGTAAAAGATAGTGAAAAATGTTTATGATCATCTTTTCCAACGAAAACAGCTGTAAATGCTTAAAGTAGATTAATCTTTTTTTTTGGGACTGGTTCCCTTGATTATTTATATTCTCGTGAGTTTGTATTTTTGATTGTTTCACAGTACGCGTGAAAGACATTTAGTCCATTTGGAGCTTCCATTTATCTTTTGATCTGCTGAATTATTTCAAAAAAGTGTTCGCTGTAGATTTAATTATGTGAAAAAGAGTTCTTTTGATTAAAGTAAGAATTCGCATAACATTGACATCATATGAATCAAAATCATGTGTTGGTGCGAACATTAGAATATCGAAAAAATATAGATTGATTTTATTGATTTAAAGTCTCAATTTTCACATTGAAATCCTAATTTTTTGATTATGTTCAAAGCTTGAAACGTACGATAAATTATAAGTTCCTAATATTCTCAAACATAAAATTGCTGCATTAGAGTTTTCATCACAAATTATCAACTCATCAGTATATGAGCTAATTGAAACTCGTTTTATGTCAAGCAATACAACATTATTAATTATGAGCTACATAATCCAATTAGAAACTCTAGCCAAATCAAAAGAGAGTAATATTTTCAGTTAATATATATTCGACAAATGTATGTGGCATAAACAGAACGGATCTCATATGCTTAGTAGTTGATTGTTAGTCTTAATCAAATTGGAGAGATAGGAAAGCAAAGGGAAGAAAAGAAAAATTTAAGTCAAGAAGTAAAAGAAAAAAGTCAGAGAAGAGGAAAGAAAAAAGAATAAAGTTAGAGAAGGACAAAAGAGAAAATAAATTCGTCCAGCACATTCATTCATTGATTCGATGAAGATTGCTCAATAAGTAAACATCACTTCTGCGAGCAATGTGAGTGCATACAAAGATAAGATACATGAATGATATCTGAATTTAATCTACAATACTATTCAGATTACGAAGAAATTCACATATTTACTGTATACGAATTGTGAATAAGGATTCTCATTGACCGTTGGTCGAGCTTAGAAAACATGAGCAAAAAGATTCAGGTAACTCTAATAGAAGAAGTCTTCAGAATTGAACGATGTAGAGGATTTAGTTTCACCTTACTTTCTGCGTTTATTTTTGCATTTTCTTAGGATAATATTTGTGGAAAACTTTCTTGTACATTCCATCGAGATAGTTGACAAAATACGATATTCGTAGAAAAAATATATAATATAGAACTTATTTGTCATTTGATAGCACCACATTCCATAATAAAATCATTAGTGAAACTAAGCTATTTAACATTTTTTAAACTGATTTATTAAGATCAATCAGTGTGACGTTTTGTTCTGACTAAGAACATTATCAAACACAAATAAAGAGACAGAAGAAGAATATATATAAGAGTAAAATAATGTCATCGTTTTTATTCTATTGTTTTAAGCATTTCAATGTACGAGGGAGTAAAATTGATCAGTCTGCATTAGAATGTTTAAAACAATAGAATAGAAAAACGAAGATATTATTTTACTCTTATATATATTCTTCTTCTGTCTATTTATTTGTGTTTGATAATGTTCTTAGTTAGAACGAAACGTCACACTGATTGATCTTAATAAATCAGTTGAAAAAAATGTTAAATAGCTTAGTTTCATTAATGATTTCATTTTAGAGCTTGTTATTTTACTGAGTTCGTCGTCGATTGAAACTTACGCGAAGAAACTTTAATTTTTTAACTCTTATACCATAAAAAGAATATAATGCTGAGTATATATTCCGTTTTCAGTATAAATCTTAAAAGAACAACTAGATGATAAATATACATAAATCATAAAGATTACAGTAATCAAATAAAAAACTTAGCTGCTCTATTAACTTTTGTAGCAATAAATTATTTTTTATCTACGACAGACGACTATTAAAGAATGAGAAAAAAAATAGTCTCAACAATGAATAAATTTTAGAAGTACATCAATAGTGTTGCTGTTCAATATTTTGTTTTGATAAAATATACCAAAAAATTGACATCGTTTTATCTATGGTATTTTTCTCCTAGAATTTTTCGCCTGCCGTATCAATTCATTGATTCTTCTTAAAAATCTAAGTTTCATTATCGCATACATATCTGATCAGAGTTGCCACCTCTCCTGCTTTTTTTCTGTCATTTCTTCTTTTTGAAGGATTTTCTGCCTTTTTCTAATACTGCATAATTTATAATTTTAATCAACACTTTTCATCTCGAAGGTCTTCATTTCCATAAATAGACAAAAGCCGTATCAAAAGCTACTGATGTTTGTGTTCTATTGTAATTCTTTCTATTTTATACAAATGACTTTTATTTTCTACTGACCACAAACAACTTACAATGAATATTTTTGCTTCTTAATCAATTTTTTACCTATAGTTTTCTATCGTATTTTTTTATTATTCATATAATTTATATACATCAATATATACATTCTCTTGTTTATTCATTCGACGAAACAGGAAGAATTGATATGATTTCTGAGGACAAAAGAACAGAAAAAAAAATAGTTCTAGATGTTAATGACAGCAAGACTAGCAAACAAGGTATTCACGAAGTAGTTGTAGTTGCTGAACAAACAAATATGCCATAAAGAGTTAAATCAGAAAAAAAAGAAATCTCATAGAAGTGTCTTAAACAGAGAAGGACTCAAAGTCGTCGAATATTAATGATTTTTAAAAGAATATAAAATAAATCCATCTTAGTCAACATTAATTGTTGGTTATCAATATTTTTCTGAACATCACAATAAAAAGCTAACATTGATAATCTTATGAACATTCAGAAGCATAAAAAGTTATGAAATCTTATGATTTAAGCAACGATTAGCTTGAATTTCTTCTTTTCATATACTAAAATGGATACATACTAATGAGGCAAGCAAAATTTATCGCAAATTCTTAAATCAGATGAAGAATGCACTTTAAAAAAAGAACCCAGGCAGGGATAAAAATGAAAAAATGGCATTAAAATGCAGTAAAATTGTACAAAAAATAATGGTGTCAAAAAGTCACAAATAATGCCAAAAAATGCATGTTCTGTCATCCATTATAATGATTATTTGCGACTTCATGAAAATTATTTAACCAGTAACATTTTAATCCTTATAACATAAACCATTTTTTTGTCGCCGTTTAACATCGTTATTATTATTTTTTTACTGCCGTAATAATTCTTCGTTTTATATCACAAAAAATCATTTTAATCTAGTCCTGCTGACGTTTTATATAATTACTTTTTTAGGCACATCCTCAAGATCGAATTTGGACTAATAGAGTTCAACTTTGACTTTCTTCACATAAAAAAATAAGAAATTAAAAAAGATTCTATCGCATCTTACAACTAAACATGTTCTATTAGGCGAAAAAAAAATACAAAATTGCTCTTATGAAATGCCATAAAGATTCTAGATTACCAAATCAGCTGTTTCTGTTCATCTGACAATCTAGAGTCTTTATAACATTTGATTAGAACAACTTCTTCGTCTAAAAAAGCATATTTAGTTGCACGACACAACAGAATTCTTTTTTATTTCTTATTTTTCTATGTGAAAAAAGGGCAATGTTGAACTATATTAACCAAAAGTCGGTCGTGAGGGTAGTGTTTTGCGTGATCACGAATTTCACGATCACGATCACGATCACGGTCACGATCACGCGTGATCGTGCGTGATTGAGAGCTTTTTCTGTCGTCGTGATCGTGATCGTGCGTGATTGAGAACTTTTTCCGTCGTCGTGATCGTGATCGTGCGTGATTAGACATTTTCTTCGTGATCGTGATTGTGACCGTGATTGAAGCAAAAATTTCGTAAACATGATCATAGCGAATATCTGCAAAACCTTAAATATTTATTCAGAAACATCATATTCACATTTTAATCAGAAAATATCTAATAGTTCATTGTCTATTTATAAGAAAAACAAAAAGAAAACACATAATTTAATAAAGGGTACATTAAAAAAAGCTAAGAAAAAGTATGACAACAATCATTAAAAAATCTCTTCAACTTCTTCACTTTCAATATCAACAAAACATTCATTATCACTTTGATTGTCGAAGAAATCAGCTTCTTTGTTCTTTTTTTTAATTGGTTCATCATTTGAGATAATTATGTCACATTTTCGTTTAACATTCAAACTATCACTAGGTTCAGCAAAACTAGCAGCAAATTTTTCTTTTAAAATATTCATATTTTTTTTCAAAAAGATTAATTTGTTCAATTTTTCAGAACCTAATTTGGTTCTTTTATCTGTAACAATATTTTTACACGAAGAAAATTGTCTCTCTACAGTTGTATTAGAAGCTGGTATGGCTAATATATCACGAGCAATTGATGCAATTAATGGAAACGTTTGTTTATGTTGTCTCCAAAATGCAAGTATATCATCATGTTCATCACCTTCCATCACCAACGTAGATGCTAAATAATTTTCAAATTCTTTATCAGCATCGTTCCTTTCTGGTACTGAAGGTGAAGGTGGTTTGTCAAAGACTTCTCGTAATAAAATATCACGTGCATCTAGACGAACAGATTTTGTAATTGATGTTAAAGATGAGAATGGTGTTGATGATGAACATGAAATTGAACTTGTTGATGATGTTATTGGTGAAATTGGAACAGATGATGAACTTGTAGATAAAGAATGATTATAACGTTTATACATTTCTTGTTTTAATAAAAATACAGCACGATCTTTGAATTGAGGAGTTTTATGTAAATGTTTATTGTTTGGGTGAAGTACTGCAGCAATAAGATGTTGATCAGTTATTTCCCATTTTTCATCTAAACGTTTACCTAAGTAGTAAAAAGTAATAAAATACTAAAAGATTACGTTAATTATTTTTTATACTTCATACCCAAGAAGGATTTCACTTGTTTAATAGCTTCATCATCATTTTCATCAATTACACATTTATTGATCAAATATTGTTTGAATGGTAATACACGATGAATTGTCGGTCGTTTATCATCACTTAATGCTCGAAGTACTGTATCAAATGGAAATAAAAAACGGCATACATCGAATAAAACATCTTTCTCAATATTAGAATAAATTGCCGATAGTTTAGAATCGAGGATTTGCACTAATTCATCAAAAATGCTTGAAAATACATTGAGCATTTCATATGCACCACTAAAACGTGTATCTGAATACAAAACCAATTTTTTCGATAGATTTTGCTGCTTGTGTATTCGACGAATATTTGAAACAAGAGTTTTAACATTATTGAAAAGTCCTTGAGCTAAATCACAATTAACAAATTTTCCATCAATCGATTTTGTTGTAAATGTATGTTGAAGCTGTTTGTTGATGTAGTGATCACTACATCCTATTCTTTTACAATCTGTATTGAAAGTGCATAACATCGTTGGTTCATTATCGGTTACGACGAACTTTTCCTGATCCAATACTAAACCAAAATCTTTTAATGTATCATTAACAAATGTACGAACAGTTGGTGCACGTTTATTTTCCATTTCATATGGAAAGCAGCCGATTGAAAACATATATGATTGAAATTCTGGATCAATATGACTAAGTGATATACCACAATATGATAAACCTTGATAATAAAAATTAGAAAAAAGAGGGCTTTTTTGGCAATCTGAAAGACCTGCCCTACCTGTAAACGGTTCACACCAGAAATCCACAATCACACAATAACTATCCATTGATTTAAAAAATTTTATTAATTGTTGCTTGTAAAAATCATACATTTTATCAATATTTCGACTTATCTAATATAAATAGATATTAATTAAGTATTTATCTTAGCGCATACAATAAAAATTGCTTACAGTAGAAGAAGTTGGTAGTAAATCTTTAATACTAATATTTGTTGATGAAGATAAACGTTGACCACTATCAAATAATTGTTTCGCTAAACGAACAAAACCAGGTCCTTGAAGTAAGTGGAATGCTCGATCATCTTCAGCAACAAACTCAACACAAGACGTTGTAATAGCACGTTTAATATTTTTTGGTACTTGTTTTTTGTCATTGGAGGTTGACTTGTAATAATTGTTGATTGTTTGTTGTTCACCTGATGAATTAGCTTGTTTAAGTTTGGATCGACAACAATGCAAATGATTAATCATACAACCAGAACCTGTTGATGATCTGTAAACCAATATTGTTTTACAATTATCACAAATAATAAAGTCTTGTTTAACATTAGAAACATATATTTGACTAAAAGTGTCCCAGTACTTGGAAATTTTAATTTTACTCGATTCATTTGGTTTTGTATAGGATATTGATGTGCTATTTTGTGATATAAGTCGTTCAATATCTGTTTTGTTCAATTTATTACTACTCGTAGACATTCTGAAAATAAATATTAATTAAGATTTTCATATTTTTAAGAATTATTAATAGTAGAAATAAAGAAATACAAGCAAGTCTCCTTGGTGATTTCAATTACTTAATATGGGATCCAATCAACAACAGTGTATAGATGGCATTATTGAATAATAAAATACTTTCTAATACTTTTAATTTCTATATACAAATCGAAGCCGTGATCGTGATCGTGATCGTTCGTGATTAGAAACTTTTTTTGTGTTCGTGATCGTGATCGTTCGTGATTAGAAACTTTTTTTGTGCTCGTGATCGTGATCGTTCGTGATTAGAAACGTTTTTTGTGCTCGTGATCGTGATCGTTCGTGATTAGAAACTTTTTTCATGATCGTGATCGTGATCGTTCGTGATTAGACACTTTTTTCGTGATCGTGATCGTGATCGTGACCAAAAATATCAGTCACGCAAAACACTACGTGAGGGTCTGCCCAAAAGGTAATTATGCAAAACGTCAGCAGGGCTAGATTAAGACGTTTTTGTGACATAAACTGGGAAAAACACATTTATCGACTACTTTCTGCATGTTCACTCTCACTCTTACTCTCACCCTCACTCTCACCCATACTGAACAATTATTATGGCATAAAAAAATATCACAATGATGTGAAACGATGACAAAAAAATGGTTTATGATATAGACGTTATGTTAGCGAAGTTTTAATCAGTTCAAAAGTAAACCGCAGCTACCTCAGATGAAAAATAATGTTTTCTTAGTACTGAAATTACTTATATTTCAAAAATTGCACCTTCTTTGATGGACAATACACGACTCAACCATGTTAGAATACAATTAATCGTTTTCGACCCTTCATTATATCTCTTGTCCTCTTACATATAATATGGATAAAACAGTAATATATAACAGATAATTTAAGCACAAAAACATTTAGTTACGGTGAAAAACGAAGCCGCAAAATTGCAATTAAAGTTGTCCCTGAAAAATATACTCATAATCTATTGCTCTTCTCATTTGGCCAATGTAAGGCAAGATATCTTTCTATCTATAAAAAGTTTCAGAATTGGTGCATAAAATGGACACGAACGTTTCTAAAAACTACTCTTGATGAGGAGAATTTATTAATAGGTAGAAGACATTCCTCATGCTCAGCTAGTGAACTATATGATATCAACATTTTATGTCAAAGAAAATTGAATCAATTGGATTGTAGAAAAATTTAAATGTACCAATTTGATTATTTTTCATTTGAGCTAGCCGTGCTTTATTTAATCTCCAGTAAGAAAATGATCTCAAGTGGAGTAACTTTCCTCACAAGAGACAGCGATAGATATATGGATCACAAGAGAACTCGCAAGGAAGTCTGCAAAAACTTGAAAGAATACTGAAAAAAATGATAGGTCAATGTCTGTCTGGACACCTAGTTAAGATACGAGCTCAAGACATTTGAAAATTATAGAAACACTTATACACGAAAATTTTATGCATTAAATTTTATGTTAGTGATGTGAAACTTTATAGAAAATTTATTTAGTTGTTTTAACCATGAGAAGGAGAAAGAACATCCTTCTAACATATTGAATCTCATCAATGAATTCGATATCATTCATTCTTATATATTTGATAAATTCTTTCTCTCAAGACAAAGACTCAAGACAACCAATAGGAACGAACGAATTATACAATATCGAATGTAGAGGGTACTGATGACAATGAAAGTGATTTCGTAAGAAAAAAGTAACTTAAATATTTATAATTTCGAATAAAATTTTTTATCGATGCAAATGTAATTCTATGATTTAAAGGTTATTATTTCTCAGTATGAATTAGTTTCAAAATAAAAATAATATACTTTCCACGTATAAAAAAAAAGAAACTAATTCAAATATCATGACTGTTTATCTTTAATGGGAGTATATCTCATTCTGTAGTGATTGTTTTAAATGAAATCGTTAAATGAAGAAATTGATAACTGAAGAAAAGTAGACATGCAATTTATTTTAATTGTCTATCTTTGATCGAACGACGCATATACATTCTCTTGTATAAAGACGATATTTATCACATAGATACAAATACGAAGAAATCATCGTGCCTGGATTAATAAATAGAATCAGTATGTATGTATGTATGTAATCACTCTCTCCAGATTACATTCAGTGTTTTCTAGGTATTATTTCTTCCTTTTATCTAGTGACTTACCATCTTCTTTATTATCTTTATCAGATTGTTCTAATAATTCATATAATGATACTTGTTGTTCTGTTAATAATGAAATTTTTAGAGCAACTAAAAAATATTTACAAGGTGTTAGAGGACCATGTTTACTTTGAAAATTAAAATATTTCAATATTTACAACTCTTTTCTTTGTGATACACTACCTAATTTGTATTCAGGAGTCATGATAACCTTGACTTTGTCATTCCTTTAGAAATTATTACTATTTTATATCTAGGGGAAAATGTTGAAGCTATTTCTGCCAAAATCGTGTGTGGCCGTAGGTATATCAGATGCTATGAGTGTGCACGATCAAATCGATAATATTGCTGAAATTGTTAATTCAATTTCATATTCTTCAACAACGTATAGGCAGCTGAGAGATATTCGTCTATTTGAAAAGTACAAAGCGAACGAGTTGAGAATTATTTTACTATTTGGATATTTCTAAGTCCACAACTTTTCAAATGCATTTCGTCTTTTGAATCTTATTTAGAGCGTTTGAAAATTTTCTTGACAAAGAATGTTTTATTCATCTAAAAACGTTAGCTTTTATAGTACATCTGGTTGAAGGAGAAAATTGGTCTGGCAATGTTCATAAGGAGATAGAATTTTTAGGGAGGTACTTCGATGAAAAATTCGCATCTCTTTATACTGTGGGAAATATGTTTTATTTGACTTCTTTAAATATTTTTCTCGATATAGAAGACACTTAGTGTCAGTGTTTCATTCAATTCATCATTTCATTCATGTGTTCGGGATTACGGTCCAATGTTCAATTATTCGATTTCTTCTTTCGAATCTACCATGAGTTTGTTTTTTATCTTTCCTTTCCATCATAATTTTGAATATATGAGTAGCATCATTTGCTCGAACTATACATGGCGGATCAATACCAACACGTGAATTGATTAGAAATATTGATTTGCATCGTCAATCATCAATTTCTGTTTCATCTACATCATTTCCCGCATTAGGAAAAGAATATATCAGTCGAGTATTTTCTTCACCACGTGAAATTACGTTTAATTATCGAAACGGTTTACATAATATAAAACTACATCAAGAAATTACATCACCACCATCTAGTTTCTTTCAGAAATGGCCAAATTCATCTGAATCTAATTTTTTATTTTACAAGACTTTGTTTTTTGATAATTTACGATTCAGTGCCGATGATTTTACAATAATTCGGCGTTCTAATGATTCGTGTATCTTGTATAAAACAAAAAAGAATTCTTATTCAATTGGTTTTATATCATATATCGTTCGTATTATTGATAGAGATGAGATCTGTCTAGTTCTAAACAAAGTTAAAATTACTTCAACGGTTGACACTCTCGACATCGGTGGAAGAAATTTTATGTGCAACAATATTTTACAAGGTAGTGTCATATCTGATTCTATAGTTATTATTCAACCATCTCAAATTTCAAAAAAAGTTGCTTTTCGACCAATATTCAACGAAGATCCATCACTACTAAATACTTTTATCTTTTATCAATATCCTAATTTGAAAGAATGTTCTTAAACTTATATTATGATAAAAAATAAACATCTAAAATTAGGCATTCGTATTATCATATAATTTCTGGAAGTTCAAGATAGTTTCTGAATTAGCTTGAAAATTAAATAGATAGAGTCAGTTCATAATAAATGGTCCTAATGTTTGTTTTATAGATAAAAAATGCATTTTAATGACCATTTTTTCATTATTCACTAGAAACCGTGCATGATAATGGTCAAAATGATTCAGTAATGGAAAAATGGTCATTTTAATGACCATTTTCCCATTATTCACTTGACAGGGAAAACATGTTCAAAGATCCTGTTTATTTGTTAGTTGGTTATCTTTCCTGATGTTACGCAGTGAAAACCAAAATTCGATGAGAAAATTGTTAATTAGTACAGTAAAACAAAAATTTAAAACCAGTTTCATATCATAAACATAGTTTCTGCTTTTTTTCTGTTTTTTGATGATAAAATTTCTGTTATTTTCTGCTTTTCTTAAACTGTTTTCTGCTTTTCGGACTTCAAAAGGTGACAACACTGTATCTGATACTAATAAACTAATTTAGATTCTTCTTTCATTATTCATCGAGATTATCATAAATCACAACTTTGTAGGTAATTATACATTTCTCCATAGGTATTAGAATAAACTAGACTTGAGAATTAGTAACGAAAATTTGAGAAGATTTCGATAGAATATTTATCAGATGTAAGACAAGCGCATCATCCTTGAGCGATCGACAAAATTTTAATTATCTACGGAGGGTATAGAAAAAAAAATTTAAAAAACGATTGCTGTGTCAGAAGAAAGAATACAGTCAGGTTTTTGTAATATCTCAACATATTCTAATGAAAATATTTCATTTTATACTCAAGAAAACAGAATAGTTACATTTCTAAAAAGTCAAAATATTTATTTAAAGAAGTGAAAGTTCATGCATCTTTAAAACATAAGGCATGAATAGAAGTCTTTTGAACAAATATCAATACAACAAGAAAAGTTTGTAGAAGAGACTTCTATTCATATCTTATGTTTTATAGATGCATGAACTTTCATTTTCCCTAGACTGAAAGGATAGGGTCTAGAAACGGGAATTGCTCTGTCCGCGTGTATATCGTTTTTGTCGGTAATATGGCACAAATGACCATTTTTTTGGCACAAACGATCATTTCTTTGGTACAAATGACCATGTAACTATGGCACAAATGACCACGTAACTATGGCACA